ACTCAAATTATTGTAGAGTGCACCCCATAATACTATATTTAGATATTGCGCAATACCCAGAGCTACCATGTGATTTTATTTTTATTTTTTTTTTGAGATGGCATATATTCAAAAAATAATTTTTTATACAAAAATTTGTATGTGTAAAATTTTTCAAGAAAAAAATTTAAAAAATATTTCTTTTCATAGAGAATTTTAATTTGTGTGTGTGTGATTTTTTTCAAATTTTTTCCTCGCCCCATTCTCGATATATTTGGAAATTAAATCGATTTGCTTTTAAAAATGTATTAATCAAGCTCAAATTTCATATTTATTTATTACTTATGTTTATGCACCAACTCTAAAAATTTTAAATCAAAATACATGGAGTGTGAACCCCGTCCGTTTTGGTATGGAACACCCCATATAAAAATATAAATATTTATGCACGAATTGTGACTGTCCATCAACAATAACAGGAAGCCAAACCTCCTTACGCCAATTAATCAGTCCCTTTTTAATCTCTCGACCTCTGAAATATCTTTCATGCTTATCAATTTCTTTTAAAAATAGTTATCACAACAACCACACACCAAAAAGATAACGGTAAAAACTCACTAAATGGCATTCACCCACTTTGGCGCCAGAGCTGCGCTCATTTTAAATCTGTGTTGAAAATCTTTACTTATTCCAGGAAGCACAATAAAACTAAATTGAAAAAAATTATGACAGCCACAAACTGGGAGCTGAATGGTACTAAAGACAGCATTAAATACTTGTCACGTGCAGTTAACAGTAACATGTCACCAAAAAACAGTAAAAACTCATATCTAACAAAATGTTAGCAAACAAAACAGAAACTGCGCCATAAGCAAACTAATAAATAAGTTTGGTGCATGTTTTATCACGTAGAAAAAAAAAACAACAATAGCAACAAAAATCTTGGTACAACTGCAACAACTTCAAAAGAACTTGTCAAAAATCTGTATGCAAGCACAAAATGTGGCAGATGAATAATGAAGTTATTGTACTAGACATACAGATGTACATTAGGGTACATCACTCTCCTTACAAAAAAAAAATCGGTTATAAAAACTAGTGAGGCATATTCATGGTTAAAATAAAGTAGAGTCTAAAGTTCGTTGCAGATTTTTGACAAAACTTTCAACTTTATTCGACTTTATTTCGACTTTGAATATGCTCAATTATATTTTAAGATTTTCGCCAAAATATTTCGGAGGTTGGCTGATTTGAAAATAGCTCCAAAAATCGTGTTCTAATAAAAAATATTAGTTTTTAAAAATATTGAAACAAAAATCACCCCAGAAGAAGATTTACAGATTAAAAATGTTTAAATATTTTTTCAACGGAATCCAATTATTTAATTAGAGTTTTAGAATTATTTTAAAGTCGGTCCATCTCACGTAATCTTAATTTTTTTCAAAAATATTTGGCGAAAGATTTAAAATATAGCACATTTTATGACGGGTGTAGAAAACCGCTATTTTTTGGTTAGGGACTCTAATGTACATACATACATACATACGTATGCAAGTGCATATAGCGTCATTGTATACTTTTTCTTCGTATAGAAATAAGTAGTGTAAGCCAAGTTAATGGGAGCTAACAGCAGCAATATGACAGCTGCCCATAAAGAGCAAAAAAAAAACATTAAACAAACTCGTAAAAGATGCACTGGTGCACACACGATGGGGCAAGTGAAAGAGCAGCGCTGGGTCTGAGCCGGGCGACTCGTGAAAAAGGTGGAGCACTTTACATAAGCATTCATGCCCATGTGTACATAGACAAACAGATACATACATATATGTTTGTATGTAAATAAGCGCTTAAGCAATAAATAACATTTAACTAATGCAGGTCATACAATGAACAAAAGTACAACAACTTCACTTTACCACAACAATAGCAGCTACACTACAAATCTCAAATAAATTGCATCACATCAGATTAGCTTGAACTCCAGTTGGACTCCAAAAAAAACCAGAAACGAAAAAGGTAGTTATGTAATCCAAAAAAGAATTAAAAGAAAAAATTGGCTTTTTAATGCATAAAAGTGCTCGATTGGTGGATTCCTATTATTGGATTTTATGTGAATTTAATGTGAAGAAAGTTTTCGAGAGGAAAAAGTAATCAAGCAAACCATAGCCATAAGAAAATTTAAGTCATTCCAGAATCAGAAACAAGTGTTGAAAAAATTGTCCCTCAATTTCCTTCAGACAGCTGCGGTAGTAAGCTTCAGGAAGATATTGAGTGTTATCGAATGAATACCAAGTCGGATAACGTCCTGCAAAATACACTCCCTAAAATAGAAAATTGCTGTTACATGAGCCCAAGGTGATCCCTTAACTGCCGTCGATTCTACCTCGGCCAGAAATATCGTGCAATTGCGCATGTTCTGTGTTTCGCACAGCCATTGCTAAGCTGCTCTTTTCTCAGTAAAACCGACTCGACCTACCAGCTCATCCGCAAAGCGATTTCCTGGAATAAATATCATAATGACCTGGTATACTTATAAGTAAGTTTAGCCATTAACTACTAGCTTTGCGCGCTCTGTGGATGAGCCAATAATTGAGGTTGATGGATACTCCACTGCAAAATATCTTTACGTCAAGCTCCGACTCATCCATGTAGAAATTCACTGGAACCTCTTTTCAACTACCTCCTTATCTCTTTGGGGAATTTGACAGGAGAAAAAACTCTTTGTTGCCAATGTGACCGCGTTAGTCTTTTTGAGGCTAAATTTAGCAACTATGCATATTTTTTCTCTAGCCTCGGAATTTTAGGTCTAGCTTGGTGGATTTTTTGTGGCTTTTTTTAAGCTACTTTTTTTATATGTAATATTAATCTTTTAAGTACTCTGAAAAAAAAAATCGACTTTATAGAAATGTTGAAAATTTTTGCAGGGAATTTGCCGCTTATCCTTGTCGTTTTTTTCTACCCGGGCATGTTTGACTAATGAGACTAATCTTTGAACATTCGAGCAGCCAAGAGGATATATTGATTGAATTGCAATGCTAACGTATACTACCTGCATGAAAATGAATAACTTCACAAACAAAAATTTCCGGTAGGTGGCACAAGAGTTAAGATATTTGGAAAGTTCATGTTTATGATCCGTTTTTGTTCATATTTAAAGCACATATTACTTAAATGGAAAGAAGTAACTTCACAAAAAATTATCTCGTTAGGTGGGACGAGTTCAATTTTTCTTTTTTGTTGTTAATCACGAATAAAAGCTTGTCTTAATTTATTTATTTTTCAATTTTTTTTTCACAGCCTGTAGCTGTTTCTAACCTTAATTTTAAGTAAATTTAGCTTACCTTTTGTGATCGTCTGGGCACACTGGTGCCTGTTTAGCCTCGCAGCAACCCGTGTTATTAAAGAAAAGTCGAAACCTTCAAAATTGTTCTCGATGTCGTCTGCTAGAATATTTATTTATTGATTGCTCCAGACAATCGCTTAATACTCTCGTCGAAAAACTCCATCAACGAACCCCGCTTTAACTTTACGACTCCATTTCCAGTAGGTTTACTAAGATGACCGCAAAAAAAAATTGCTTTTCTAGCGCGCCCATTTGTAAACAACGCCAGCAAACAACCAGACGTGAGTGAGTAAATAGAGCGCACAGGTGAATTATTTGATTGAATACTTAGATGTGGAAAAGTTTATATGCATACAAGAATAAACAAATGCATAAAGCATTGTGTTACAATATGTAGCTGCACAGACAGCATTGCAGTCACAAGAATAATAACGGTCAGTAACCCACATGCACATACATACTTACATACATAAACCAATAATATTTCTCCTAACAATATTTCGACCAGACAGGCTCTCAGTTGATTATCATCGCTATTATTATGCAAATTACGCTTACAGAGCTGAACAAACTGGGTCGACACAAATTCTAACCAATACTCATGCACTTGCTTATGCATGGATACTTGCATGCACTGTCCATGTCGAAGTGTAGTAAATCAGGCACCCGAACAGCATTAAATCACCGGCGTTTATACAATCGCTAAAGAATTAGACACAAAGTAGGTACTACCATCCATAGATGTAGGTGGGCTTGTCAGACCATAAACCCACTTAGCTGATAAGCCGTGAATAATGTCCACTTCCGAATCGAATGCTGGACGGCATTGGTCAGCTGTCTAATTTTGTGCGCATACAAAATCCCCATTGACTAAGCGCTGCTCATCGCATTTGCTGGTCATTCTTGCTACGGATGCTGCTGCCTTCACTTCGCCTGTGGCGCGATTTAAATTTCAACTCTTTTTTGTTGTATTTTTTTTTTTTTATTTAATTTTTTCACATTTGTTCCGCATTTTTCCGCTTCACTTGCGGAGTGGAACAGCGACGTGCGCGCGCAGTGTTTTATATTTGTATCGCGGACGTGAAATGGGTTTAGGTTTTTGGAGTGAGAAAAGTTATGAGTTAATGAGCAGTAGTACCCAGTATCGAAAAGTGGAGTAAAACGTGACTTGATTTTCTGCTATTTTTTTTTGTATTTTTTTTTTCATGGTACGCTGCAACAAGTGGTTTGTGGCAAACGCTTTTCGTACTATTTTATAAATTACTGGATTTTCTTTTGTAGTCAGCGAATGAAATAGATTTTTTGCATTTCCTCAATGGCTGGTCGTAGAAAGTGCTCGCAAATTTAATTAGTTGTGGTTTTCCTCTAAAATTTTTACACCTCATTAAACTCTAATTTTCGTTGAAAGTGCGCCGTATTAGGCATTCACCGAGTGCTGATCGAAGAATAGCAAAGGCGTGTTAATTGCGCTAAATAATTTACGCTAAACGCGCTGAAATACTAGTGAATTTGTCTATGCACTTTTTAAGTGCTATGGTAACAGCAAGAAATATAGTAATTTCCTTTAAAGTTAAAGAGCAGTTTAGAATTTGTTAACTCTTGGTTAACGTTTTATTTTAATTCAATTTAATTTTTATTTACGTATGCATTTTTGTTTTTTTTTTGTTATTTTCACACTTCAACTGCATTTATCATATTCAGGCACCTTGTAGTTCCAGTGTATATTCTCATCCGTAAAGTGCTGCAAGCATTTATTGCACAATTATTAGTGACTAAAAACACTAAATTGTCGCTCTCCCGGTACTCAACTCACCATATATAGAGACGTGATAAATGAACCAATGCCAAGCATTAGTATTGCCGTATTCTTCATATTCTTGCGCGTATAATCCTCCTGCCAATCGCCTTCTGGTATTGGCAAATCATTCATGGTGCAGTGTGGGCCACCGTCGGCAAAGGGGGTGCTTGGTGCCTTGCTGGCGTTGCGTAGCGCAGTGAAATGGAGCGCTGGATAACGTGCTGCAAAATTTAAAACCAGCGAAAGAATAGTTGCATAGTAGCTAGTTTTTGAAATACTCTTTAAAAATCCGATAAATCTCACCGTTATGCAGTGTTTTGCCGGTCATTAATAGCTTCCTAGCGAACATTTTGTTTTGTCGATTTTCAAGATTTCGCTAAATATTTATACGATTTGTGTCCTTTGAGCTATTTCCAATGCTAAAAATGTACTCTGTTGTGCGATTTCTGCAAAAATACGCGCCCAACAACCTTTTCTGCACGAAAATTATTTTATTGATTGACGTTGAGGTATTTTATTTTAATTTTTAATTCAAAGCAACAATGATTGATGAAAGTTTTGTTTATTTCTGTAGAGAATTTTCATAGGCAAAGTACCAAATATCTCGGCTATGGGCTCGAGAACTCCCTATCTCAGCTAACGGTTGAAAAAACGCACTATTTCAGAATTTGGTTGAAGAACACCCTATCTCAGCAAATGGTTCCAAAAGGCCCTATCTCAGCTGCCGATATATTGAATTTATATTAGGGTGTTTTTGAACCAAATTCTGAGATAGGGCGTTTTCGAACCGGCAGACGATGTAGGGCGGTATTCCATTCAGAAAATTTCACTTATGGCAAGGTACTCATTCGCACTTTCCCTTTTCTCGGTTAAACCGACTCGAGCGTGCTTTTCCTGGCCAACTTATCCGAAACTAGGAAACAAGTTATGTGCAACTGAAACAGGGGTCAACCCTTGCATAACTAGCTTCGCGTTCACCAATGAGCGAGCCCAATGTTCGCTGATTGCCGCTTGGCTATCAGCGTAGATGTTTACCTCTTTGTACGTCGCGTAACGGAGCAGCCAATTGATTGCTTCCTTACTACTTACCGCTGACTAGAAAACACTACCCACAGTGATCTGACCACGTTAATTAGAGATTAATGGAGAGCTCCCTGCAAAGACCTCCCTTCTGTCAAGATTGGGCCTATGCGTGTAGAAGCTCATCAGTGCCTCCTCCCAGCTACTGCTTTTCGTCTACTCATTCAGAGAAAGAATTCGAGTGGAGAAAGAGCTAACTAGTCTCAGTCTAGCCCAGCAGTAGATCCATGTTATTAGGGCTAAATCGCAGCCCTTTAACCTATTACATAGAGTGTTCGCTATTTAGTAATTCAAGCACGAGGTGCCCCTAGGTCTTCCTGTATCCCTTACTGAAGTTCCATGCAGATCCAGAGTGGGAGTAAGCGACCACTACTCTGGCATGTAATTGGAGTTCTCACCGAGCATTGCCTGATGAAAACCCACGGTAGTAGGATGGATATGCAGTCGAACGACTATTGTCATACCTGCCTTGATGAGGAGGAGATTGAAAGCCACTGTCCTCCGCTCGTTTCTCGATATTTTTTTAATGTTTCGCAGAACTGGATTAAGGTAGTATCTACGATTTTGTGCACTTCCTAGGGCTACAAATTATTTTTACTTATAAGGTAAGAGGAGGGACGTAAGGATTCTCTAATATGGCATCACAATGGGCACACGGTTGCCTAATTGTGTCCTTTTCCTCTGCTGGATGGGGAGAGCCAACCTAACCCAACCTAACCTAACCTATACTAGAATGGGCTAAAACACTCTATACTCAAAAAAATTCTGCGAAATTTATTTAAAAATTTGACAACTTATATGCAAATTTGCAGAGTTTTTATAATTTTGAATTTTTGTAGTTTCAAATATGAATTTATATGGTTTTTGCTATACTTTTATAAAATAAATTAATAATAAGTATTACTTATGTGGTGTAGTGGTAAGCAGTGCGTGCTTCCACTCCGCAGCACCTGGGTTCAAACCCTGGTCAAAAGCAACATCGCAAAAATATAGAAAAAGGGGTTTTTCTTACCAGCGGTCGTCCCTCGGCAGGCAATGGTAAACCTCCGAGTGTTGTTTCTGCCATGAACAGCCTCTCATAAAAATACAATCGCCGTTCGGAGTCGGCGTAATACTGTGGGTCCCTCCGCTTTGTGTGACAATATCAAGGCGCACGCCACAAATCGGAGGAGAAGCTCGACCAAACACTAACATATGTGTTAGCGCCAATCTATATATAAGTATTACTTAAATATACAAAGTAACAAGTATTTTTTAAGCAACAAGGCGTCAGGCGAACGCCTCCAATTGAGCAAAGAAAGCCGCGGGGTATTTTATAATTTCAGCAACGTCTTCGTAATTTCCAATTATTTTAGCCTTTCGTATGGGGACCGACCCGTATTATGTAACTGTATGTATGTATGTGTTAAAGCCAGTATTAAAAACGCTAAACATTTTCATTTGTGGGATATTATCTTAATGTAAATTCCACTTCATTATTTCTATAATTAAACTGTTTGGTTGCAGTTGAAATTGCATCTAAAATTGTTTTTAAGCTTTAAGCATCACTCTTAAACATCCAATAGAGTAATAAAGTCACCAAAAGATTGTCTTAACCTAATTTTTTCATTAAACAAAGAGGCTTTAAATCCACCGCAGAAGCAATAAAAAAGACTTTGCCGTTAGACCAATGAACGAGCAAATATTGGCTAATAGATTTATGTAAACACTTAAGCATATAACAACTTAATGCATTTTATGCAGTTTCATAGTTACATACATACATATGTATGTACATAGGTTACATACAAATGGGAAAGTAAATCTTTAGTTGCCAACTTTATACGACGCGTGTTTACATTATCTTATCAATTAGAAGGCATCTACTAAATACCAAAAAGCAATAAAGCATAACTGTAACACAGCTGCAGTGCACAGCTTCTGCCAGCAACACAAACTTACATTGGCATACATATATGTATGTAAATACAAGAACACATATCCACACTTAAAAATATGTACGAACGCTTGTTGTTATGGCCTGTCACTGCAGCAGTGGCGTTGACTCACTGTTATGCTGCTGCTACAGGTGCTGCATTGCACTTGTTGCAGCCAACCAGCCTACCAACCCAACCTTTGTATGTATGTATGTAGGTATATGCCGGAACGCATAAAACAGCCATTGTTTATGCTTAAGCTTTTTGTTTGACTTGGAATTAGTAGTTAGTACAGTTAACGTGATTTATGTTTATATCTGTCTGCATACATACAAGCATACATATATGTACATTAGCGTTGGCCGAAAATCCGCTTTTTTAGAATCTTGATTGGTAATAGCAAAAATATGGTTCATCATGCTCTAAAATAAATTTGTGTTAAATGTGAACCTTTTTGGTCAATATTCTAGGCTCGCCCATGTCTACCAAAGTTCAAGTACTAAATTTTTTTTTTAGCTAACTTCGATATTCTACAAAAAGGGGCCATATACCAAATTATGTAGAAGTAATACTTTCGAAGATTATTGCAATTTTAGTAAAAAATTTATTAAATAATTTATTTATTAATTTTTATTTTTGAGCATATTGAACTCTGTGGACTTGGGCGAGCCTAGGTTATTGATCAAAAAATTCCAAATTTCACACATATTTTTTTTTTAAAGCATAATGAATCATATTTTTGCTATTACCAATCAAAATTCTGAAAAAGCGGATTTTCGGCCCCCGCTAGGGTAGGGTGCCAAAGTAAATTTTTTTTTTGAAATTTCAAATCCCTGCCCCCTTATTTCCATTATTTTCTATGATATTATTGCCTATTTTTATAGATTTTTCAAAATTTATTTAGAGGTCGCGACTTGTAATTTTAGGTCAGAAAGCACGGTTTTGTAGATTTATCAGTTTTTGAATGAATAGTTTTCAGTCAACAACTCCCAACAATCCAAGTGTGACAATAGATTATTATACGTAATTTTAAAGACCTATACATCCCCTTCTCACAACATATTCTATCATAGTCATATAGTCATGCAAAAACTGGTTATTCTACAAAGCCATATTTTCTGGCCTAAAATGACAAGTCGCGACCTCCAAATGATGTTTAAACATCTATATAAACAGGCAATAATATTTAGGGTCTTGAAATTAAAACAAAAAAAAGAAATTTTTTTTTCGATGGGCACCCTAATGTATATACATTTGCATGCATATGCCCGTTTCTATATATTTATGTTTATTTTATGATTTTATTTACTACTCGCTGTTTGGCTGTTAACCCATAGATAAAAAAGAACGTTCTAAATATTTGCTGTTATGCCAATATTTGCATTTTAGTTCTTTACTAGGCACTTAAAAAACATTTATTGTTTGCTCTTAATGCTACGAACCTGATAATACTACCTTTTTTAACTATCCACTGCATACATGCACTTCTGAAGATTTTTATGAATATTTCCAAGACTTTCTTTTTCCATATACATATGTACATAGAAGTGTAGTATAACTTTATTTATTTACCTGTGACTTTAACGTTTTAAGCCGATAATTGGTGATACCATAAAAATGCATTATTATTATTGCCTATTATTTAGGTAGTGTCCAATACAATTGCTAGTGCAGGCTGGAACGCACGCGTCTACATGTACATAGATACGTAAATTATTTTAGTTACTTCCTCAAAGAGCTAAGCATGTACCAGTTCAAAGGTGTTGGTGGCAAGCAAGTGTAAAATTTTGTCTTAACCCACATACTCGTATTTTTTTATGTTTCGCATAAGTGGCTATGAATAACGACAGGGAGATCGTTACATACATACATACTATAATAATGTCATAATTTGCGATAGAGTTAGCCATATTTATTTTTCATGAAGGCAGCCACAATACATCAACTTGCTAAAAGTAGACTATGTAGTTATGTAGATCTCTTGAATTTCGTAGTTATTTGTTATTTACTTATTACTTTGTCCTTTTTCCTTTTTGTGGGCCTGATATGGTATAACTTAGCATAGACGTGATTCGGCCCCCATCTGGGGAAACACTCAGGCATTGTAGAGTTTGTCCGTTTTGATTTTGAACGATAAACGCTGCTTGATCGATGAAATGACGCAGGCTAATCAAAGTTATGAAGTTACGACTAATTTCCATCTCCGAGATATGTATTGAAGGTTGGTTCTGAAGTGGTTGTTATTAAAGTGATTCCAGGAGACTCCAGCTTTGCAAGCATAAGCTCCGATCTACTCTCTCCCCCAGAAGAAAATAGAAATTGCGCGTGGCTA